ATAAATTAATATTACATAAAATTAATAATAAAATAAATAAATTAATAATAGATAATACTTATATGGTAGTACCTCTGAAAGATGTTTATTAAGATATAAATAAAGAAATAAATAATTATAAATAAAAATTATAAAATGAGTAACTTACTAGCTATATTAGTAGAATAAGAAAGAAAAGAAATTCTACTAAGAAACTATCTATAGCTAAAATAACTCAAATATATTAGGTGAATAATCAGGTAATTATGATGCAGTAAGTTATGTGTGGTGCAGTATGTGATACAGTAATGATCTGTGAAATAAAAGATAATCTAATATAATTATTAAGAACTAATTTAATTTTGTTACATTAACTCTTATAGACTCAACATATAATATCAACAAGTACTTGTGATATTTTTTTATCTTATATATTCAAGATAATTTCAGTTACTGGGATGTGAATGCACATTTTCTTATTAATAAGAAAGATAATGATATAATAACTAAAATATTAAAGATAATTTATCAATTTGAATCTCATTAGTTCTCATTATATATTATGTGATTAAAATAATATAGAAATAAATAATATTATAAATATTTTCTGATATTATACATAACAAACAAAATTATAATATTATTCTTTGCACTATACATATTATATAAATTTAGCTATGTAAAATTTATTATTTAGTAACATGCAACTAAATAATCTTAATCATGCATAAAAAAATGAGTATCAATTATAAAGAAATTATTAAGAATGCCATTATTATTTGTTCTATTCCTGAAATTGTTTATTATATTAATCATAATTATATTAATAATATAGAAAAATAGGTACTTTAGGCATGCCAACACTCTTTTCTTTTATTATAGATCATCTTAATAAATCTACTAAAATCTTATTATAGCAAACTCAAGAGAATAATAATAAAAAATATGAATTAATAGATAAAATGTAATTTATCATGTGATTAATTCTCTTTAAATTTTCTGAGTTTACTAGATTATATAATGAATTACATTTTTATTGTTAACAGTCTGTTCTTTATTATATAATTTAGAAATATATTTTAAAATTATCAAACTTGATAATAAGAAATAGGTTAATTTAGAAAAAATAGCTCTTAACTTTTGTTAAAAATGTATCTCTGTAATTAATCTCAATAATGAGATTCTTGAACAGATATATAAGTTTTCCTATCTTATTCAAAAGTTAATTATAAGTGAAGTTATAATTATAAACGCAAGAATAATAAAGAGAAAGTCATTATTAGATCTATAAATACTTCAGTATAATTATATATTTTTTTATTATTATTTACTTTCATATTGACATATTCTTCATTAACATATTTTTAATTCTAATAAGCTATTAATGGTTAAGATTTGAAACAAATTTCAATAGATATTTAAAGAGATTAATTTTGAAATATATAAATATCATGAAATAATTAAGCTATTTGAGTTAATTCAGACTCAAGTAGAAAAGAAGCAGAAATATGAAGACTTTAAATTGATAAACTTATAGAAAGGGTATGGGACAAGTATTAGAAAATTAAAAATAAAGATGATGTAGAAGTAACTAAGATATTTATTACATGTTTAGATAAATCATTGATTTCAGTTTTTTAATAATAAAAAATATTAAATTTAAATAATTACATATATATAATTATTATTATATATTTACTATAATTATCTTTATATTTCTTAATTATTGTTAATTTTTTGTATTTACTAATTGTCTTGTTCACTATTATTATCTGATAATATGTTTAGTTAATAATTACCTTTCACATGATACGAATGAATCACATGATACGATCCGGATCGAATTCTATGTCACGTGAAACTACCCGGCCTCTATTAATTAAAAGTTAGATATAAAATCAATTTTAATATATTAATATTAAAAACATTAATAAATTATCATACTTTAATTTTTAGTTATTCAAGTTTTCTTTATAACAAGATATTTATATCTTGTCAATTTTTTTGTGTTATATTTCTTATATAAGTTACTATATCAATATCAGATTATTCTCAAATTCAATCTGAACTAATCTGAATGAAGTTTTATATAAATATATTATTTTTATAGACTTGTCAAAATATAATCATCAATAGTGATCCTTACTTAATAGTATAATACATGATGCCCATATTGTGCAGGTATAACAAAATATACTCTAGAGAATATTAAGCAAATTGCTCTAATCTTCTTTATTATGGATCTGTAAAAATCAATATAAATGATATGCAAATTTTGATAATATAGGTTGACTAAATAGAAACGTGTAAACTCTATTAGAAATTCTAATAGAATTTACACCGTTTCTATTGCGCTCAGCCCATATTGTTAAGCTGTTTGTAATGTCCATGTTGTAGAAAGTACAAATATGAAAATCTATATCGTAAAATCTTAACAAAATATTTGGACCCTTCATCAAATTGTAAGAGGCTACAACTTAACGTTCCTTATTACCACTATGATTTTGCAATCGAAATATAAGGAGGAACAGCATGATAAATATATAGAATTCTTTCATAAAGGAGACTCAAAAAATTTCATCAAACAGCAAGCATGGGATCAACTCAAACAAAATTATGTGAAAAGAATTGGATTGCCCTAAGGTATGTCTGGTATTACGGAGACCCATATATAATTATTCCAGAGTATCTTCGAGAACTGGATCTTATAGAATAAAAACAAAACTTTAAATGTCTTGATCATTATTTTTTCGATATAATGATTAATTATTAGAAAAGTATGCCTATATACGTATCCTTTATTGATAAGATATCCAAAAAACTTTGAAGTATATGAAATCTAACAGATTCGCACCAGATTGGTCTTTTTTCACCTTTTAGTTTGTGGAGGGTCTCATAGTCGAAAAATGAATATAGTTGTAAATCTTAAATTTGATAGAAAGGAAACAAGTGGAGCGGTATATTAAGAGTGATAATCTTACATTGATAAGAAAACACTCTGAGCTAAAGTGACAATTAGTACAAACTAGCTTTCAGATTTTTGCGAACAACCCAAAACCATACCGAGAGAATGTCACATTAAAAGAATAAAATCCCGATATAATTGAATTCTCCCCAGGTCGAAGTACAGTTGTTGTATTCAAAGATCTTTGTGCTGAATCAAAAAAGATGCAAGATCGAATTGTTTCAGTAATCGGTATCAAAAATATATAATCTAAAAATATCTCGCATCTAGTCATGTTCCAAGAAAGTATACAGATGATCCAAACAAGATAATTTGCGAGATTGGAATTTTGTGATCTTCAATTTTACTGGCAATTGAGCCTTTTTGTATATATGCTCATGTATATTACACATAAAATCAAATATGCGCATTCCTTTTAAAAAATATGTTTATTAGTAACAGCGGATACCTCGCATTCTTTTTATCAATGATAGCGATATAAATTTGTTCCAATCAGTGAATGCATTAGACAAGCATGTTTAAAAATACTGGTTAAACTCAGAGGTCGACCATGGTCACCATCACGTAATTGTATTATTATTTTTGTAAAGATTGATGCATATGAAACTTTAACTTTTAAGAATCTAAGCTTTACAGATGCAGTAGTATTCTATTGCAAAATGACAACGTTATTCTAACATCAAATTATACTACTCTTTTTGGGACTTTTTCGGAGTTGATGTCGTCTCTGGAAGATTGTCAATGGTAAATAAATCTTCTGGCCTTGTTTGAAACGCAACACTTTTTACTTTCTTAACAACATCAAGAACATTTATTATGTCATACTGCAATCATTAGAAATAATTAAAATTCGTAAGGAAAAATTTCAAATAGTGAATTGATAATACAAATGCATACCTTTAAACATAATACATCTTTTAAAGTCACAAGGCTTTCTGGAATGCTATCCCATGTCGTTCCAATTCGATATTGACATGTCTTGAACACGAAATAATATCCAATGTCGGCATCATAATACATGGCATACATCTTCCCATCAAGACCTTTGTTAAATGTAAAGCAATGGTATCAGCCAACTTTGAACTAGTGTAAGGCATTTGAAAATTTTCTCCATTATTTCTTATAATTACCTCCGTGAGTTAATCCGTGTAAAACAATATTCTTTACTTCTTTAATCGACTCTTTTGTAAATTTTAAACTCTTCAAGAGACGATCAAGTTGATCTTTCATTTCACGAAAAAGCTTTTTTTTATAGGAAATTGGTTTCGAGTTTTGAGGATCTTCATCAGTATACGTTTCTGAGCCAAAATATTCCATATTATCAATACGGAAGAGAATATCAATCTTGTGTCCAGATTGTTTTTTTCCCGATTCTTCTCTTGATAAGTTCTTACGCTGAGTAGATGCCAAAGACATCTCTTCACCTCTGAGATGACGGAAAAAATAATTTGAGATTCGAAGTTAAGAGATCAGCTATCATAACATTAAATTTCCTTAAGAAATTTCATTACTAACCGATGAACTTGAATTCCCTCACAAGTCAAAAAACAATCATCAATTAACGAGGTCAATATATGACAGTTCAGCCAACCTTCAGAATTTCTATCCAAGAGCGGATTTCGTGGAGCTTCAAAAAACAATGACCTAGATAATGAGATGAATTGTTATGAAATGGATTTAACATAAAACCAAAAATCCTATTGATAGAGATAGAATTAAGAACTAAATAGAACTCACAATTTGTCAGCAAAACGATGAACCCAATGTATTTCATAGTGTCTGATAAATGAATACGTTTCATCTGGTGGAACAAATGAAAGTTGAAGTTTGCTACGGAATTCATTACGAGTATCAGACTGAAGCCAGAGAAATGGAAAAAGTGTGCAAAATTAGTAATGATTATAAAAAGGAAATTACTAGTGACATATCCTTAAAATATACATTATTGATTAATTCATTGATGTATTCCGTAGCCTTGTTAATAACAGGAACCCATTTATAGTCACGTTTGATCTTCAATCTTTCCATTAAAAGTTCGTTTGTTGTGTCTATTATATTTGAACAGATTGGTTCACTGCAGTAAAAAATAGTGACAATTAGTTGAATAATAAATAATACAGGAATGCAAATTAACATGTTTTATTTACAATGCTGATTTAGATCGCTGTTTTTCTTGATTTAGCAGATTAAGCAACTCCTGATTTTTGGTCGTAGAATATATTTGATGAGATGGGGTGCTTGGCCTATCATTCCTGGGGCTATTTACAACATTTATTTCTCTAATAGACCCTGCACCTGTTGATTGTGAATTTGACGCGATTGGATCACCGGTATCCGCATTTGTGAGCTTGACCTGTTCATATCACAAGAAACAGAAAAACAGAAATTTTTTTGAGAGAAATTCATGTGAACTAACCATTGAGGAATAGCGATTTTAGCAATTTCTCGAACTTTTTCTCCAGTTTGTTTGTTTCTTTTTTCTATTTGCGTTATCTCGTTTTTGTCTGAAAAATTTATTTGAAAATAATAATTTTCTATCATGGTAGGGTTGCATTCTATACATACCTTCTTTGAAGCGATTGAATTGATTGATTCTTTATTCTATAGATATCAAAAGTAGTCACCAAAAACATGCTCGCATAAGATTCAGGTTTTATCAATATCCTAACCTTTTTCGAAATAGATAATTGCTTTTTCCGCTTTGCCGAGGGCTTTGTTGGAGGTTGGAAATCATCATCGGACTAAATACAAAGAAAGAGTTAATATTTGACAGCCAACATTTTGTTGACTCTCAACTTCTAGCAAAAAATGCACACCTCTAAACGTTCAGCATCTACATCTATTTCTTGATCCTTATACGAAGTAAGATCCGAAACTTTCGAAACGATTGTATTTGTATTATGTTTAGCCGTTGCGTCCAATATTTTTAGGCTACCAGATATATGATTATTGATTACGGATTTCTGTTTGTCAAAATATAATGAACGAAATCAATAAATGTACCAGTAATAGAGCAAGCAAAATGTAATAAATCTTGACTTACTTGTCCTTTTTCATTGATGATATTTTGCCAATAATACATTAGAGACTTATTCGAAGTTTCTGATTTCACCTATTATGGGGAGAAATAATTAATTAGTAAAAAATGTTTTCGTGAATATCAATCATAGCGAAGCCCATGAAAACGCAATGATGGCGCCCAGCCGATCACCAGATACTCCGAAGTCAACCGATCATTGACCAGGAGCGCAACCACCATCACTTGGGCCAGCCGATCACCGAATACCCTTGATCAACCGATCATCGACCAAGAGCTCCCTTTTATTTAATATTCTTAGAAAAAAAAGGGAATACAAAACTTTTGCATAAATATCATCGTATTTTTCAGGAATAATATCTTTTACGGTTCTTAAGAATCTCGTTTCCCATGCAGCTTCTAAACCACTCCAGTCATCAGTATTCGGTGGAGAGTTTATAATAATTTCTTGATAAAAGTCTACGAACTCGCGAAATGAACAATTCTCATTACGATTTCTTACGTAAGAACAAATGGCTAAGGAAATGATTGGTTAGTAAGTATCAAAAAGAGAATATTAAGAAGCCGCCGTGCAATTAGAACTTACACGCATAACCGCAATAATATTCTTTCGACATTTTTGAAAAAGCTTGGGTGAACTATTTTTCGAGAATCAATTGTCGCGTATGTCAGATCCATAGTCACATGATATCAATCATTCCATCAACTATGACGATAAGGATGATACATAAATTCTATCCATTTATGTTGAATGATAGTGCATGGATGAAATGCAGAAAATTCATCAGACTTATAATTTCATCTGGATTTTTCAAATATTCATCATAATCAATACTATAGTACCTGCAAAAGGATTATTTAACTCTATACGTTAGGCAACATGAGACACCTGTCGTGACTTGCGTATATAGATATGTACTAACTGGATTATAAGCTCTTTCAAAAGTTGTGGATTATGGTTCATGTTTTCCCATAAATAAGCTCCTTCGAGAGCTGTGGTTCATGATCGGTCCAATAAGTTTCCCAAAATGATCGCTAAAATAGCAGAATAATCACAATCATCAGTAAATCTGCAACAAGTACTAGCAATCAACAAGAGATGAGATATTAACGCAAATATATTATTCTTAATCCATCACGAGTCATGCGAAAGTATAAGAAAGATACAATCTTGAAAGATTAAATTGAAATTAGTTCAGTTTTGCCAAAGTATATTAAACTTTACTAATTAAAAATCAAATTTGAACAAAATGCGGAATAATTAGTAAAGAGAGGATTTTTGCATTCTTTTTTTTAGAGACGTCCAAGTTAGGTCTATTTGGCATACAATAATTCCGGTCCGTGTTATATTAATCCTTTCTAAAGAATCTAATTTATATTATGTGTATAATGAATGTATCGACTATATTACATGATTGAAACAATTGCAATAAAAAAATGTAAAGGGAAAACGCTGATTATGGTTATAAACAAGTAAAAGATAGAAATTAATTTAACATTATTGTAACTAGAAATGATGTCATATATCATTATGCTATTTAAGAAAAGAGTAGATGAGTGGTGATATGGGTAAGATTATTTTAAAATTTCATCTTCAAGAGAGAGAAAATTAATATGGATAATTCAAAAATGTTCTTAATATAATCCCAATAAACCAGCCTGTCCTTGTACACATTTCATTCGCCTCATTACTGGTTAGTTTTTCATCTTAATCCACTCGCCCAAATACAAACTGTTCGGTCTTTGTCAGCACTAAACACTTGACTACCTTGTGGACTCCAGGCGACACCACAAATTGGTGCACTTTGATATGAAAGTAAGATGATCAATAATTGTATGCGTTTGTAAAGTGACTTTTGAAATCAAATAATTACCTGTGTTCTTTTAAGGTCTTTTCTAACCGAGATTTAAAAAGATTCCAATAATATATTGTTCCATCTGTATCAATTAGAGATGGATAAACAATTTCATTAATAAATTATTAGAAATCAAGCATTTGATAATTATATAATTACCTATAGAGCCTGCTGCTACATATCGGCCATCCGGACTAAGTGATGGGAAATATCATTAGATATTAAGATCACTAATAAAGACAATAATGATGTAGGAACATATCGATTTGAAAAAATTAAGCAAACCTATAGCAAGCTCGAGACCAATTTGTCCCATTCTTGTAACCATCAGCGCTATATATATGTATAAATAAAATTAGCTACACCGTAAGAAACTACTTGACACAGAAAAAGAGAATAACATACTGTAATGTCTGTACAACTTCATATGTCCGTAGATCAACTAACTTAATTGTATTATCCCTAGAATTTGTCATTACTTTAGAACCATCTATTTTTTTTAAAAAAAAAACCAATTAGACTTTCTTCAAAATTAATTACATGTATAAATGCATGATATTTGCATACCAGGAGATACAGCCACGGAAGTAATTTGCCCAAGATGAATCCCCGTCAATTCTTTGATATCTTTTCCTGATCTTACATCCCAAAATCGTAGATTATTATCCAAATGACCGCTTGCCAGAGTGGATCTATTATTTATTTGTTAATATAATTCTTTTTTATTTGAATCATTGCTTTATATATTCAAAATGGAATATTTACCCAGACTCGTCTATTAAGACAACATCATTGCAGCTAGAGAAGCAAAATATCGTCTTTATACCTAGCGAAAGAAAAAATATTACAATCACGATGCTTCAAAAATAAGAATAACAATTAAACTTACAATATCCTTTATTCAAATCGAAAACCCTGATAGTTCGATCATGACTGCCTGTTATCTATAATAGTATTTTATTTATATGTAATTATAATCTGTAATGACAACATGTAAATACCATTAGTAAATTACCATTCTCGTAGAATCCCCATTGAATCTGGCGGAATAAACTTTTCCTATATGTCCAGTTAATGTATGCTAAATAAAACGGGGAAAATTTGAGTATGATATGTAGAGCGTGAATGTCTACTTAAAAAGGATTACGCACCCATATGCGAGCAGTCCGTAGATCCCATATTCTAGTTGAATTATCATTCGACGCACCAGCAATCATATCGTTTGTGTTGTTAAATGATAGATGCATAATAGATTGCAGTGACCCCGATAAAGTCTGTTTTAAGTTCCCTAAAGGTCCGGTAATTATATAATTGGCCTATTGAAATTAAAAAAAAAATAAAAAGGATAAAATGAATCAAACAAACTAACCTGTCTTTGCATCAAATACTTTAATCGTCTTATCACTACTTCCAGTAGCAAACAAATTACCGTCGGTTGAGCAATTTATGGCATGTATTTCGCCATCATGTGCCGTCTAGACTCATAAAGAATACGCGAAAATGTTAATGTGATTTTCTTGGAGAAAATGATCAAATTAATTGAGCATACAAATTTTCTGAAAGCCGCGACTGGTATCGTAACAGGACCAACGCTTTTTCCGCGTGTTCTATCATTCCTTTCGATTAATATTATGCTTACTATATATATATATATATATATACATGTGCAATTTGATATTGTATAGACCGAAATACCTCATAGGACTTATTGTTGCTGTTGTAGGTTCTGTCATTGCAACAATTTGTTCTTTCTCTACGATCACAACTCCACTATTAACTTCTAATGCCTTTGCATGAATATCAAGAGCACTATCAAATAATACCATGTAACATATTAGGCAAAGAAAAAGAAATAGAAAAAATCACATGAAATATAAAAACCTTTCATAAAACGAATTTGCTTCATTCATTTTCTCTACTTCATCATTCATTTTCTTGAGCCAACGTTGAAGTAATTGACCATTTTCTTTTTCGAGATCTTTCATTCGTTCTTCCGTTTTTACTAATTCTAATTGAAGCGTCGCTAATTCGTCTTGCAGGATCTATTGTTTATTATCAATTAGTCTTTATCTATAAAGATGTTAGTTCATATTAAAGAAAAAAGTAAATAATTCTTTTACCTGTATTGTCACATCTTTCTCTCCTAGAGCTAAGGTTTGAGATTCAACCTTTTTCATTAAAGTTGTATTTGTCTCGGTCAGTCGTTGAATTCTTTTTGTTTAGCAGAAAAAATAATTTATATCCAATTGAATATAACGTTTCATCGCAATTCATTCTATTATATTAGATAACACCTACTCCTCATTATTTTTCTTTGCAGTCTCTTCCGATTTTCGCAAAACATCGTTCAAGTCCACTAAACGTTGTGCATTCTGTCCTTGTGTCTTATATAAAGTAGCACGCTCTTCTTTTAATTCATAGATTTGTTTTTCTAGTTCAGCAGTACGTTTTTGATTTAATGGGCTCCTGAGGAACAATCACGAAAATTCAATTAAATTTTGGTCTATGAAAAAACTTGCTAAGTAAAGAAAAGAGGAAATACCCTTGATCCCGTAATGTAGCCACCTCTTGTAATAAAACCGCATTCTCTTCTTTTACAGCTCTTGTCGTGCTTTCCAACTCGCCATTTTGATCGGCAAATTTACCAAGTTTTTGAACGAGCGAATTATCTGGCACACATTTAATAAACATAAAGTATACATGTACATGCGTCAATTAATTAAAGAGAACAAACCAGGATTTTTTATTTGGTCATGAACGATCTTTAAGGTCAATTAGCCTCAATATCTACTGTATTTTTGAAACTTTGTTCTCACTAGAAAACTGTCCACTTTTTTTTCAACAGATTAATTTTGATTCCCTTTTTTCACAAAGCACTCTCTGTATTTTAAAGCTTTCACTTCTTTTTGTTTTTTTAGTGCTCATCGCTCAAATATCATGAGCAACTTACATGAATCGACAAAGTCCGTAAAAGCTTTCTCTCTCCGGTCTCGTACCAGCAGTTTTACTAGCAGATCGTGTTGCCAATTTCCATGGTTACTTGCGCCAACATTATTATTATTAGAACCATTGAAACCTGTCGACGAGATAGGTGGCAACGTTGCCATATATATAGGAGAAATTGCAAAGTAGACGAGGGTAGGGATAACACTTGAACTCTGCTAATTGAATTTAATAATTGATTTGCCAGAATCGCACGGTGACACGATCAAATTTATCCAGAATGATGTTAATTGGCTGGATCGCACCAATGAAACAAAGGAAAGAAAGCTCATCTTTCTTTTTTGATAAACATCAGAATAGTGAATATATCGTTTATTTTGCCCGAAACTATATCCTAGTCTAATGGTAGTAGATATTCAAAAATACATGATGAAAAATCCTATTCTATTCACCAATTTGTTATTTATCAATCTTCGAAATATTTTCTTCATCCTCTCCTTTATCCTCTCCATCACTGTCGTCCCAACTTCCCTCTTCTTCTTCCTCCTCCTCATTCAAAATCTGATCAATCTCTTCGTTCTCGTCAAACTCGTCATCATTATTTTCCGATATCCAAATAAAAGCCAGTTCTGTTCGCGGAGAATCAGCCTTACAATTAATATACTTTACAAACCTGTGAATTCCATCAATCCGCTCGGTGATGGTTAATGTATTTCTCATTGGCCATAGAACGTGCACCGGCAATTCCTTATTCTCCGCGTAATATATCGTAGCTCCTTCCCATTCCTCATCCCACTTATCTCGTATGCATGAGAATACAACATCAACACCGGCATGATCAGCTGCTTGGTCATGCGCGATTATATAATTTCCGCGCCGAAATTGTCGCGTTTCAGATGACACGGCGCCAAATTTGAGATGCGTCAAATTCTCAAGATACATTTGGAAAGCCGACGATTGAAAGAATTTTTCGACGCGTGTATGAAATGGCGCAGGGAGAGGAGCTTTCGATTTCCCTTTAATATCATTAATGTTATTTTCTTGTCCATCATTTCTGTTGGGATTATTAATGGGATTTATATTGTTATTGTTGTTGCTACTGTTGTTTTTATCCCGATCGTTTTCTTTTAATAAATGATATTTTCGGACGAATGGTGGTCCAATTGGATTCTCGTCCCATTCGGCATCTTTCGCTAGACTTTCCAATAATCGCACATATACTTCTTCCTTTAAAAACCCACGCAATTCCACCGATCCCCTCAAATGAATCATTTTCAAAAGACGATCGATCGCTTCATCTGAACAATATTCTTCATTAATAAATTCCGATATATCGAAATCTTCCTCTTCACGTGATAATTCGTCAACCGTCCGATATTCAGCGATTGACAATCGACTCTTAAGTGAGCCATGAAACCACCCCGATATCGAGATTCGCGGTTTCGTGGGAGCTACTACTTCTGAAACTTGATGGTAAGAGGTGGGGCTTACCTCAAAAAATGCCATTGAATTCCATTCTGGAACTATTGACCTTTTCACTTTATTAGGATGACCCAGGGAATCTCTATAAGAGAGAAATAACTCATTTCGAATGATCAATACTAATTATAATCCCGATCATTTGTAAAATCTAAACTTACATATCAAACAGATCCAAGGTTCCTCCATCCTCTTTTCCCCAATTCTCATCAACCAGATAAATAATGAAAGCGATTCGCCTACCACCCTTTCCCTCATTCAACAGTTTTCTCAAGTCAATGTGACCATTTTTCTTCTCTAGCTCATCTTCATCTTCTTCATCAATTACATTTTTCTCATAATCATCTTTGATATCGTCGTCATGACATAACAAGTAATTACCCTGTTTATAAATATGCGCCGATAAATCGACCGTCTCACCATCAACTTCCACCCCTGTTAATGCGCCAATCAACCTCGCAAACCATTCAGAATATATAACTCTTGTCAACTGTGACAAGTAAGTCTTTTCAACCCCTTCTAGACTATTACTCTGATAAAACTCGTAAAGATCATTTGAACGGGGTGTGAATTCCTCCGTTACTAATTCTTGTTTCACTTTTTCCAAAAACGAGTCAGAAAACAACCGTGGAAGTACAGCAATGGGAAAAGGATGTGAATAAACTTTGCTTGTTGTTTCAGGGTCGTAAAAGTCAAGACGATTACGAAAAGCAGTTCGAAAATTTGCAATATAATCAGGGGAAGTGTATTGCTTGTTTAGTATGTTATCTGGCAATGCAGTGAAAGACAAATGCTGTACATTATCCAAAGTAAATTCAGATGCATTAGAAGAAATTCGCACTTTTTTATTTGCATTAGCGTAAACTTCGGTGCTAGATGGACTTGGATGTTTTCTTGAGGACATTGTTTAACAAATTCTCGCGAAATTTTTTTTTTTAAAAAAATCTTCAAGGCATCAAAAATTTAATATTTTCTCATCGTATCATGTGATCTTGAGATTTAAACAAATGCAGTTATTGATTTTTTACTTATGTCTGCCTTTCTTCTTTTGTAGTCGTTTTAGTTTCTTTGACGAATACTAGATAATTTTATTTGAATTATGAGAAATCAAATACAAGAAGTTACAATCAATTAACATTACCTTACTCACCATCGCTGCCAATTTCTCTAATCTTTCTTTCTCCTCTGCTGCTTTTCGTCTTTTTAGTAACGCCTCACGTGCTCTCTTTAATAAAATATAGAAAAATTGTCACAACAAAAAATCAATTGAAAAATTGTTATATTTCGATGTTTCTTTCTTTTAAACCTGTTTCTTGGCTTCTTTTTCTTCTTTCAATTCTTTTTGTAATGCTTTTACGGCCTGTTGTGCACGTCGCTCTTCTAACCTTTGTTCCCAGGTTTTCGATAGGCCTCGGGGAAGTTGAGACCGACGTGTGGCGCTTTTTGGATGTTTCCATACCTTACCTTGTAATAAATACCCAACAAAAGACTCTCTTTAATAAATCACTGCAAGTTTAATTGTGCAAATTCGGAGCAAATATCGTTTTATAGTACCTGAAACTCTTCTTGCTATTACTTTTGTGGTCTTAGCATTTTTTGTTGGTGTTGATGTTTCTGTTCCATGTTTATTCTCATTGATGTTATTGCTATTTTCTTGACCAGCGGAATTTACAATACTGGTGTTGCGAGTGTCAAGTTCGTTTAGGTGTTCCATCAGAGAAAAATTTCAAGAAAACCATGAATCATCCAATCAATGTAAAAATTTCACTTATGATACCTTTTTTTTTAATTTGATAACACAATCCAAACCAAGCTAGACTGAACCCGCTATCACAAAAAAAATTTTGACAAGTTAATGTAAAAGAAAGGAGGTGAAAATTTTTTGAAACGGATCGTGCACGAAATGTCACGTTTCTTTTTTACAAAATCCCTTGCTTTGAACACCCCCTGCGCAGGGGGAGGTATATTTCTTCTGCTCTCACATAAAGATTTGATTTCCTTAAACAAAATTTCACAACACGCATTCCGCCAGATCACATGTAAGCACGCCTCTAAAGATTTACAAGTGGCAGCACCTCATTCGTGGAGGAAGCCACAGTCACAGTGTTGTGGTGGGGTATAGAAAGGTTCGCCTTTCGGCAATTCCAACAAAGTATTCTTTTTTTAACTCATAGAAAATATCCACATTTACGCGCCATGTCGACATCTACACAGACACCTATCTCTCTTCCGTCAAGAGAAGAAGTTGAAAACTGGAATCCAGAACAAGTCGTAAATTTTTTGACAAATAATAATGATGGACTGAAGTTATACCTTCGGCCTGAGGATATCAAGATAGTTCAGGATCAATATGTCGCTGATCAAGCCTTCCTTGGTTACACTGAACAAAAACTTCGCGTATTGCAACGTTAATTGCAAAAATCAAACGAGAGCAAGGTAATTTTCATAATTCATAATGCTCGTTACACCACACCCTAGATAGCTTTAAATAATGCCTTTCTAGTAATGTCACCCGCCGCTTCTTTTTTTGTTACGATCGGCCTTCTATCGCATTGTTATCACTTATTTCTTTGACAATAATGTTCTTTTTTTCATCATCATTTCATTATGAAATGTAAGCGCGTTATATTCCGTCGTATCTGGTTTCATTCACAATCCATCGTTTATCCTTCTTGTCCTACTGGTTTGCCTTGCTCTTCTCTTCCTCTTTCTAAACAAGCCCTATGGCCATTAATATTTCTTGATCCTATACTATTAGATGCCATGTTACATTTTATTACAACTCATTGCCATTTGGCCGATTTTCACTTACCATCGTTTTTTCCCCTTTACATTATAATAATCGCTCTGGTCTTTCGTCTGACGTCGAATTCAATTATTTAAGGTAAAGTATCTTTTCCTATTCGGGCCAAAAGTCAATGCGACAAAAAAAGGAAAACAACGTCTACGCTTTTCTGTTGCTATTTTGGCATGTACACTTCTGGCGAGTTATTTGACACCGCTCTTTCTCTATTAGTTCCCCCAACGATAAAACGGTCTATAGCTGACGCTTTCCCAAAGGGTGTGTATTCGATAAGTTTTATGCTCGAAGCATGTCTTCCTTCCGTTATAATTGACAAACGGTTGATCATTTTCTATGTAGGCTTGCCTTATGTGGCACCAAAACCCCTCTTATACACTAATGGATTAGTTTGGGAATATCAAAGCAGCCCAACCTTGCTACACATTTTACAAAAGGAAATTAAGCAGCAATATGCATACTATCGGGCTGGAGAAATCGATAAAACCACCATGCCGCTCTACCTTTTCCTCTCAGGTGCCGATACGGGAAATCCCGAAATGCTTCCGAATTCCACCGGACGGCAGTCGAATTTCTGGGTGCCGAAGATGAGGAGCTGAAGAACAAGTTCCGGAATGCCTGGGTGTTCCACGTTAGCCTCGAAAACGGCACAGCCATTATGGAAAACGAACTAACCGCAATCAACGCTATGGTAGTCTGATGCTTATGCAACTTCTTCCCAACAAGAAATTGGAACATATCATTAGAGACTACGAGCCTCCGTTTCCACTGGAGGTCTTGGAATTGGTCGCCAAGCACAAAGACGTGAAATTCAATGATGCTACATTTATCGTGGTCGTCGACGCCATGCAGACACTCATGGCCTCATACGAGGATAGGCTGCGCGCGGATTCTCAGTTTTACAGGACTCTGACAGTTATTGGCGATCTCGCGCTTTTCTACTTCCGTGTTGCACGGCAACGGTTTCTCGTCCATTTGAGGAGAACTTAAAACCTTCCACTCGAAAACGCGTACATCTACCGGTCGCTTCCTTGGAAACACCCAAAATTCGTTAAAAAGACGGCACTTTGCAGTCGATCTTTGATATGCGTTATCCCCTTATGAAGATCCTCGAAGGAGACTGTGGTGAACACGGAAGGGCCCTCGAAATATTATGGAATCTTACAAAAGGGCTTAACCTGGATAATTGCGACGTCAGTGATTTGATGCATACGCTCTGGACTAAATTTACTGATATTTATGGCGGTGCCTTTCCCAAAGATGATATTGCTAGGGCTATCGCACGAGTAGTATTGACTCATCGACGCTTGGCGAAAGACGAACTTATCCCAAATTTCCCGATCAGGTCGTTGAGCCTGGACTCGTTCGGTTCGAAAAAATCGATAATAATTACGGATACCTTCATGTGCCATATATATGGCTCTGGGCGATGTTAGAAAAAACCGGTAGAGAATCGCTATTTCCGGACTGGCGACTTGACGATTATGATGAGCATGTCACCAAAGAGGATCGGACGTTACCAAATGGTAGTAGTTGGGAAATTTTGAAAGATTCAAAGTGAAATTCCGCAGCTTGAAGTCCTTTAGTCTAGAAGAAGGCCAACCGACAAGTATCTCGGATATTCATCACAGAGCCCATTTGGATGGTGATATCAACTTTATAAACCATCGCCTTGATATGGTCTTAGCCGCGAAACAGGTGGGTACGAAAACGACCACAGCGAACTCTGTAAATGGGTCATTGATTCTTCCAAAGGACCTATAGATGTGCGACAGCACAGGCACGTTGTCGTTAACGCAAAGTCTGCGAAAGCCGGTGATGTTTTTCTCTCTGGACATACGACCTACTGATCAGAAGGACCCATTGCTAACGAGATACAGCAATACAAACTTTATAATGGCGACATTAAAATCAACCAAAAAGGATATGATGAAGAACGGGAAAAGTCTGCATCAAAAAATGATTTCTTTATTCTCACCACCACACAAGGTATAACGCTTCCGGCCAACTCTGGTATTGTGGACCAAGAAAGTTGGCGTAGTTATTTCGATCCGTTTACTGGAAGAGCGTTCATATACGGTGTTGAAGGCGCTCCAAATCTCAATAGGGCCAATTTCACGACTCTTCAGTTGGTGGATTCTGTCGGACCTGCAACTGCAAAAATGATTATGGAGAAGAGAATTTTCGAGCATTGAGGACGCAGAACAAAAAACGAATATAAAGAGGAACAATACGACTATTGATAGTCTTATTTCTTATCCATTATTAGATATGACGAGAAAAAATCGTGATATTTGTAGCGTATATATTACTGGAGCTGATGGGTCAAATCTCTTAATGTAATAGTTGCATTGCTAGACGTGTAGTGCTCAACAATAAATAAATAGATTCGCTAGTATCTCGAACGGACTCGAATGATATGGGATCGTTCCTATATAAATATGAAACTCATTTATATCAAATCTATTATGGAGCCGAAAAATTATAGCACTATCAGAAGCATCTTGAAGAGAGGAAAAGACAAGAAAATTGCTCCTTACGTTTTTAAAATATCTGACGCAGAATCTATCAAAGAATATTTATCAAAAATTAGATAGTCTTGGGGATAAAGTTGACTTTTACCGCAAAGATATTTCTGCACGAGGTCGACAAGAATAAGAAGAAAAGTACCAGAAACGAACATCATCAGAAGCCTTTCAAGAAACAAGGAAAAAAAGTATCAGTAGAGTAAAGGTATATGTTGGTGACATAAAGATGCAGAATTTTTTGTAACACACAAAAATGTCGTAGGTAAGTTATTTTTTTGTTTATTTAAAATTATTTACACTATATAACATCTCATGATCTATTGTACTATGTATATAAATTCATACCAATCTTTTTTGTTGTAATCAACACTTGTAAATAAACAATATCACTCTTGAAACACAGAGAATCATCATAAGAGAGTTATGGAAAATTAATATCTGAAAACCCGCTGAAATTATAAAAATCACAGGTTATGTAAAATTTATGGTATATGATCTTGTCAAAGAAAATAGTAATGTTGTATCTCATTCTTTTATCTGAAAATTGTTATCATCTATGCAAATCAAGCCAAATTAATTCAATTCTTAATATGTGTATGATATAAAAAATCTAAATTCTTGTAGATATATATAATAAAATTCTTAAATCTCATCTATTTTTATATGTTTATAAAACTGGATTTAAATAATATTTTTAATAAAATAATATTTTTATTTATATTGTTATTATTATAAAAGATCTTGAAAATTCTCAAATTTTGCAAACTTATTTAATCTAAATTTAATCAAAAATTTATGAATAATATTAAAGAAAAAGATTAAAAAAAGATTAATATTTATTTAATTATAAGATTATTTTGTTAATGATTCTAAACAAAATAAAGTACAATATAAATAGTTTCACTTTATAAACTTATGATTTTATTATTTGAAGAGTATTTAAATCTAAGATAAAAATACAGAATAGAAAGAATATATTTATAGCAAAAGAAATGAATACAAAGTATAAATAAATTAATAATAATTTCTAATTAAAATATATATGTATTAAACATAATTAATTAACTTAATTTGTATTTCCAGAAGATAATTAATCATAATCTAATAATTAATAATGATATAAATAATAATATAAATAATAAATAAGAATAAGTAAAAATATAAAGAAATAATAATTAATAAATATAATTAAAAATATTAATAATCTAAATTAATAATAAGAATATACATTAATATAATAATATATTAAATTTTATATATTAAATATATGAATAATTATTTATATATCCAATATAATTTTCTAATTATATAATGTAATATATCAGAAAAATTTACACAAAAGATTCAAAATATAGTAAAGTAATTGAAATAATATTCATATAGAAAACTAATTCAAGAATAAACAAGATTATTGTATTAAAAACTTAAACTTTATTATATTGATTATTATTAAAATTACAGAACAGATACAACATCTTTAAATAATAAATTATGATTATATAAAATTAATAATAATAAATAAAAAATTTAATACTTATAAATTAATATCTTCAGAAGATGCTTATTAATATATAAATAAATAATTATAAATGAAAATATAAAATAAATAATATGCTAGTTATATTAGTAGAATAAGAAAGAAAAGAAATTCTACTAAGAAACTTTCTATAGTTAAAATAACTTAATTATATTATATAATTTTTTTGATAAAAATGAGATAATTTATAATATAGTAATTACATGTAATATAGTATGTGATATAGTAATAATTTATAAATAAAATATAATTTTATTATATTATCTTTCTCTTAAGAATTAATATTTTTATTAATATTTTAATTCAAAAGATTTAATAAATTTTATTATATTATGAAGATTTTTCAAAGATTTTCATAAAGAGGATAATTTAATTATTTAATAAATATTACAGTTTATTATGAATAATTCTTTTATTCAAAATAGCTTTAACTTTATACTTTTCTTTATTAATTTTAGATATAATAATTAGTTATAATAGTATTAGATGAATAAATTCTTTATTATTATTAGAATTATATAATTTTAATAATGAAATATGAAAGATAGAGTAAAGTTTTATATATGAAAACAAATCTAATTTATATATAACAGATAAAATTACTTTAAAAATAGAGAAAAATCTAATATATTTAGATGTAAGTTTTTTACTAAGATATTACTTATTCATAAGATCAATAATATTATGAATTGAAAGTAAAACTTGATCTTCAAATTTAAATTCTTGATAATAATAATGTTGATTAATATATTTAGATTGATAATTCTATATTTCTATTAATAAATCTTTTGTATTTTTAATTATATTATTCTAGTATTAAATAAATTTATCAATAATAGTAACTTTATTATTTAAGATAAGTATTAAAGATATAAATAAATATTAATCATAATTCAACTCAAAAGATATATGATTAGAAGAAACTTATATAAAATTATTATATGTAAATTTAGTAATAGCAAGATATTTATTTTAGTAATCTTAATTATAAGTTAAATATATGTATAATATTTCTTTTAAAATATAATTCATTTTCTTAATTTATCTATCTGTTTATAGGTAAAATACAGTTAATATAGCTAATTTAGTATCAATTTATTCAAAGAGAAATTTTCAGAAATAATTAATAAATTTAATATTACAGTCTGAAATTATAATATGAGTTAATTTATATAATTTAAAAATATTATTTAAGAATAGTTTGATGATTTCAGATATAGTAATAGTTAAAGATAGTATAGCAAGTATGTGATACTTATTTATCACCTGTTGTAACATATTACAACTTCAAAATTTTATAAGTTACAACTAGTTGCAACTAGATAATGCTTTATTTGTTACCATATTGCAATAGTTGAGGAGCTATCTTTAGTAATAGTAATATATATAGGAATAAAATAGATATATTTAGTAAGATAATTAATAATAACTAGAATTATATTATGATTTTAATAAATTATTAATAATTATATAATAAAATTCATTTCTAATATTATTTAAGTATTTTCAAGAATTATAGAAGTTCTAAAAATGATTGATTATTACTTTTATTTCTTTAATATTTTTTATACTAAGAATATATTCATAAATATTCTTGAATATTTTTGATTAATAGTAGTATTATTATAATTACTCATAAGTTTTATTAATTTCTAAATAATCAGAAATAGAAATATTATAATATTTTTCTAAAATTTGTATTTTTAGAAAATTATTATTAGAAATAATAAGTTATTCTGTGATTTTGTTATTTTTTAACTTAAAATAATATATTTTCAATTATTATTTTGAGATAACTAATTCAAAATTATATAAAATTATTCAAATTTTTTTGAAATATTTATTATTCTTATATTTTTACTATAATTTTTTCTAATTAGTTATATAAAAATTATAATAATATTATTTACTTGTGATAGATAAGATATTAGTGATAATATTTTCTTTATCTAATTTATATTTAATAATAAAATTATTAGTTTGTAAAGTTAGATATATAATTAGTAATAATAGTAAAATATTAATCTTCTAAGTATAATTTTTAAAAATGAATAGTATATATAATAATAAGAAGTTTTTTTTTATATATTGAATAGTTTTACTTAGCAGATGATAATTTATATAACTTATAAATGACAAGTTAATCTTTTTTTTATGATTTTAACTAAGAATAGCTTTTATAATAAATTCAGATATATTAATTATTATAGTAAAGAATAATTTAGAATTTAATATAATTAAGACAGATATAGTAATTAAGTACTATTTTAAGTTATCAAATACTTTTTTCTGTAATAACTAGTAAGATTTAGAAATAATCAAAGTTCTGAGATATTAGTTGATTTAATCAATTATAAATAGTAATAATTTTGTATTAATCTATTAAAATTCTTTGATCTAAAATAAAATAATCTAAGTATTTAACATATTATTTTATAAATTTACATTTCTTTAATTTGATATAAAATTTATATTCATGAAGTTTAAAAAAAATAATACAGAAATAATTAAGATATTCTTCTTTAATATTACTAAAAATAAAAATATTATCAAGATAAATTATAACAAATTTATCTAGATAGTCATAAAAAATATTATTTATAAGAATTATGAAAATGACAGATGTATTAATGAGTTCAAATAGTAGAATAAGAAATTTATAATGATTATATTTTGTTTTAAATGTAGTTTTATAAATATTATCTTTTTTAATTTAAATTTAATAATATTTAAAGTAAAAATCTAATTTAGAAAAATATTATATTTTAATTAGATGATTCATTAATTTATCTATATAAGATAAAGAGTAGTAATTTTTAATTATAATTTTATTTAATATATAATAATTTATATAAAGTCAAAAAATTTCTTTTTTTATATATAAATAAGATAAGTATTTTAAATAGTGAAAGACTTGAATAAATAAAATCTTTACTAAGTTAGATAATTATTTTTTTTAATTTATCTATTTCAATATAAAATAAGTAATATATAGGATAAGAAAATAATTTAGATCCAGATAGTAAATTAATAACATGATTTATAACATATTTTGATAGTAGTTTATTAGAAAGAGAGTTAGAAAATATATTAATAAATTCTTTAACTAGTTGAGTAACTTTACAAATAG